GCCGACCCTGGGTCGGTCCTGCACCCCCCAGCCCGCGGGAGCCGATGCGAGGGACGGGCGTCGCTTGTGCTCCCCAGGGCTGAACTGGTGCTGCAGCCGCCTGATTCCTGGGGTCGCCTGGGCCTGTCCCCGGGGGGGCTGGCAGAGCCTCCGCGCCAGCTCTTCTCTTACAGGAGCGGCTGCAGGCTCTGTGCTGAATGGGGGACTCCCCCGCCGTTCTGCAGGCTCTGTGCTGAATGTCTGCAGGGGCTGCTCGGGAGAATCAGTGTGGGAATGAGGCGCTCAGGGTGTTGTTCCCAACAGCACTTCTGCCCGCCCCGTTTGCTGGTGCCACTGGAGACTGTGGCCATCCTGGCTCGGAGCAGGGAGTTTGGAATACAGGAGTCTTTTCCCTCTGCTCCCGTTCTTTAGGTTTAGATTAGATATCAGGAAGAAATTCTTCACAGAGAGGGTGGGGAGGCACTGGGACAGGTTGCCCAGAGATGTTGTGGATGTCCCATCCCTGGATGTCTTCAAGGCCAGGCTGGATGAGGCTTGGAGCAACCTGGTCTAGTGGAAGGGGTCCCTGCCCATGGCAGGGGGGTTGGAACTAGATGATCTTTAAGGTCCCTTCCAACCCAAACCATTCTGTGATTCTATGATTCTTGCCCCTGCGGAGTGTCTCCCTCGACAGCCTGTTCACTATGCCAGATGTGCACTAAAGCTCATTTTTCTTTCCCCTCTTTCTTTTTTTCTATCTCCTATAATTTTCTGCCCTAAGAAACTCTCTGCCTTCTGCCCCACACCAAAAGTGATCAGGTGCATGACCAACACCCCTGTGATTGTCCGGGAAGGTGCGACGGTCTATGCCACCGGGACGCACGCGGACGTGGAGGATGGGAAGCTCTTGGAACAACTGATGGCCAGCGTAGGCTTCTGCACCGAGGTGGAAGAGGACCTGATAGATGCTGTAACAGGGCTGAGTGGCAGTGGCCCCGCGTATGTACGTGCTGCTTCCTCGCCTTGTGACGGGCTTGGGGAGCGCGGTCGGTTCGCGTGCGTGACCGTCTCTGCAGTTCGGTTTGCCCTCCCTTGCTTTTCCCATCGCTCGCGTTCCCGAGGGGACAGGTAATCCAGGTGTCTGGTTTATAACCAGTTTGGGTCAGCAGCAGAAGTCCATTACCAGTCGGACGGGTCTGAAGTCCGTCGCCAGCGTGCAGTGTCCCCGCGTCCGTGTTGCAAAACGCAGGGCTGCGGTTCATCTGACCCAGAAGCTGCATTTCTCCCGTTCTCCTCACTCCTGAGCTGGGAGGGAAGGGAGGGAAGCCTGGCGTGGCAACCACGCAGTACAGGGGGAGGCTTTTGTCAGCCTGTACGTGACAGGAGCCATGGTGTGGTCCCAGAGCCCGGGAGTCTCTCCTCCCTCAGGCTGTCAGCCTTGGAGCAGAGGCTCTTGGTCACCCTCCTGCTCTGTCTGGTCTCAGGCGTTCACTGCCCTGGATGCTCTGGCAGACGGCGGAGTGAAGATGGGCCTTCCCCGCAGACTGGCTGTTCGACTTGGAGCACAGGCCTTGCTGGTCAGTATTTCCTCCTCTGGAACACGTTTGGGTGGGTTCCTGCTCTGTGCAGAGTATTCTGGAGTCACTGTTTGAGAAGATCTCCCTCCTCTCCCTGAATCCACGTTAAAGATGGATCCAGGCTCCCGGCGAGGGGATGCAGGGAGCGTCCGCAGCAATCTGCTGGCGTGGGAGCCGGAGCCTCCTCTGCGGGCTTCTTCAGCTCTGCCCAGTGTTTGGCAGCAGGAGCCCTGGTTTGCTCACGGAGTGCCAGCTGCTGCTCGGGGCAGTGGAGAGCAGGAGCACCGGCAGTCAGTTCCTCGGGCACAGCTCTGCAGACGCTTTATCCTTCTCG